TAAGTGATATGCATAGTATTACGTCTATGTATTTACAAAAGCTCTGCTGTTTTAGTGCTTTGAATATTTTAAGATCAGTGGGACAAAACTGATATTTTCAATTACTTATGTAATACCTTGTATTATGATGGAACTGGTTGATCTGTAGGTGTTACTAAAATATATAGTCTTTGATGATAATGAAATTGCAAGTATTTCAGTGTTTTAAGGTACACAGTCCTTGATGAAAATATAAGTGATTCTGTTTTGGTTTTTTCTGTGCAAGGTTGCATTTGAGCTTTCTAGGAATATTTAGGCTATATTTCTCATGAAAATAAAATATGAGTTCCCTCTGATCTACACAAAAAACAGATTTACTGAATGATGATTATGATCACTATTTGCTATCCGTCTTCTCAAGGAGAAAATCTGAGATAAAATTTAATTTTTAATGTATAAGTTTATTGAAAGTCTTAGTTTTACACGACTGTTGTGGAGGGTCTAATCCTACTTGCATTAAAGATGACATGCATCCCTTGAAATCATCGTAATTTGGCCTGATTGTATCAGTGATCTTTTGGGATTTTTCTCTGCTTGCTTCTATAGTTAACACTAATAAATATTAGATAGAGAATGAAATATGGCTCACTAGAAATTAAACTATCCTTCCAAATTCTAGGCACTATTTACTATGGCTTACTCACTTCTGATCCAGAAGGGCATGGAGGCTGCATACAATGCTGAAGTTGTAGTTGGATACTAGTTGGTGAGGCACTAGCCTTCAGAAAAAGATACTAAAATATGACACTTTTCCTTTTTTGTCCCTTTATTGTTAGTTGTTCAAGTAAAACAGAAGTTCCATTGCAAGTCCACACTGGCCTCCATAGTCGTCCTGCACGTTGTCTTCATAATAATTGGGGATTCCGGGAGGACACCAAGTTATAGTATGGAATTCTGATTGAGAATCCCTGAGGACCCAGCCGTAATATTACAGAAGCATTTTCAAAGTAAAACATTTTGCGGGAATGTTTCTTAAAAATGTGTACCAGTGTGTATTTATTCTGAGACTTCCATTCTGTTCTACTGTAAATGGAGGTTTACCTTTTTCTCAGCTCATGGTAAGTAAATCCCACTCTGTTCCAACAGTTTGGAACTGCGCATATAAAGTTCATGGAACCGCTCATCATTTGGCATTACTAGTCTACTTTAGGATCCTTGTGATTTGGGAAGGGATAGTGCTATCTTACAGCAAGCAGAACAAGTGAATTCTTCACAAGCATGGAGGATTAATATTCTGCTTCTGAGCTAGATTGGTGACAATCCGAACTGAAGATTTTTTCCTTTTACTAGTTTGCGATCCAAGGAAATTGTTTCTTTGTATCTCTTCTCCCTTTTTCTATACAGCTGGACGAAAGTGTCCTGGCATGGATTCATCCAATTCATGACTTAGTATGTGACTATCTGCTCTGGTGCAAATAGTACTTGGCCACCTTAGATATTATAATAACACGGAGATGGTGTGCATCAAACCATTTTTATGTCATTTTTGTTACTTTGCAACAATAGCTGATCAGCATTAAGTATATTTGTCTACTGTACCCCATTACTAAACTGTCTTTTGCATACATACTAAGATAATATTTTAAAATGTAAAACATTCTTGAAATAATAAAAATTCAAAAAAAATGTTTAAAAGTTTGTTTTCCTTTTTTTAAACCCCACAATATCCTGATTTATTTAAATTTGAACAACTCCTTCCCTTTCCCCCCAACTCCAAAATATCACCTTAGGACTTCAAATCTTCATAATGCCCAAGGTAAGTGATTTACAGCTGCTACATTTGCCTGGTTTGCAACCCACTGAAGCACTGATGACTTTCAGACCCAGTTACCAAGAAGCACAATGCATTAACTGAGTAAAATGTATTTATATTCATTAGATTCACTTTTCACATGGGAAAACTAAAACCATATTTCAACAAGGCTACCACATATACAGTCTTTCCCTAGGATAGTCTAGTAATGATACTTGGCATACCAGCAATATACCATATTATATTCTATACTCAGATCACTAACTCCCATCTAGAACACCAAAAAAAGGACTCTTCCAAGTCCAAAGTTAAGCATGGTTATGGAAAACAGCAATCAATTCAAATAGGATTAAGGAAAATATTATTACGGTGACAGAAGCAGCAAAAGATACAAAGCCTCATTTTTGGAAGGAGATGAACCATTGCATATTGATTGGGTTTGGTTTTTTTTGTTTGTTTTTTGTTTCATATCAGTTGCGGTCATATTGTTAACATATAGTTAGTAAGCATATATACTGCATAAATTAGAAAGTTTAAAAATAAATTCATGGGATAATTGCAAATGGTGGTAGATTTACAAAATAGATTAAAGAAAATACTACCAATTGTAGCGTTTTTCACTATCTCTGCATGAATATAAATTGCTATGCATGATGCTTAATGCCTAAACGCAACCCTAAATTTGAAATCATGACTCCTTTTGAAATCCAATGGCCAAGCTCTGACTTCAGAGGAGAGAGGATTTAATCTCTAGTCCTTAGCATGGATTCTTTCCGTGAAGCACAAGCTATGAAACACTAACATTATATTCATAATTCCTCTAGGAGATAGGACACCAGCAAAAATTATCACCCAAATTATTTCACTTTGCAGAAATCTGAATTAGAATCTGAACTTTGTGGCTTGGCCTCTCTCTTTGTGAAAACCATCCAATGGTCACAGATCAGGATAAAATTGTCCAAGAAAGTGTCTTATATAATAAAGGAATGATTTCCACCACCCTGTTGGCTGCAAATAACTAGAGACATGATACTAAATAGAGCTCTCCTGTGCTCAAAAGGCCAAGGGGAGAAATACTTACTTGTTGTTCATTGGGGTTTTTTTCATTCTGGTCTTAAAAAAAAGGATTGAGCTGGAAGAGGGTGAATTATTGCTTAATACCTGCACAATTCACCATGGCTTTTACTTAATTCCTGTGTAATTCAACATGGAAGATCTAGGATTGGAAATGTGCTCTCTCATTTCCTACTTTAGGGAGCATAATGCTAGAGAAGTGCATGTTTGGGCTTTGAAGAGCTTGGAGGCTAACCCTTTTCTGAATTCACATCTTCTGGAGGGATATGGAAAAGAAAGACAGAATGGAGGGAGAGGCAGAGGCGGGGGGGGGGGGGTAGATTTGCAGGAATC